GAAAATGACTGTGTCTTCTTTCAAAAAACACAGCTTCTCGTTGTTCTTGACAAATCATGGTATAAATTTTCTTGAATAAAAGTATCCTCATTTTCTGTATGCCTTTAGGACTATTTCCAGAGACTTTAAATGACTGCTACTTTAGATTTTTCAGTTTCACTGGGAAGTGGGTATAGAGAGCTCCTCATGCCGTCATGCTGGAAGTACCTCTCCAGTCACCTTTTATGCCCAAGATTTCTCTTGGGTAATACTTTTAAATATAACCCTTGTAATATTTAAGTTACATTGTTTTGATTGACTCTTTAGAGGCTCCAGTTATATAGATGTTAGAATAACTATGACTGTCTTTCATTTCAACTACTTCCTCTGACATTTTTTTTCTTGTTCCTCCTTTTCATTCTTTTTTTAAAAAAAATTTTGTTGGAGTATAGTTTATTTATAATGTTGTTATTAGTTTCAGGTGTGCAGCAAAGTGATTCAGTTATACACATGTTCATTCTTTTTCAGATTCTTTTCTCATGTAGGTTATCACAAACATGTAGGTTATTAAACAGAGTTCTTTGTGCTAAAGGAGGTCCTTGTTGGCTGTCTTATATAGTTTGTTTATGTTAACCCAAAGCTCCTGATTTATTCTGGCCTGCCTCCCACATTTCCCCTTTGGTAACCATAAGTTTGTTTTTGATATCTGTTTCTATTATGTAAATAAATATTATCTTTAAAAAAAATTAGGTTCCACATATAACTGATATGACATTTGTATTTCTATGAAGTAATTCAGAGTATGATAATTTCTGGGCCCATCCATGTTGCTGTAAATGGCATTATTTCATTCTTTTTTACATCTGAGTAATAGTCCATTTTATATACCACTTCTTCTTCATTCATTCTTCTGTTGATGGACATTTAGGTTGCTTCCATGTCTTAGCTATTATATATAGTGCTGCATTGAACAGTGGGGTGCATGTATCTTTTTGGATTATGGTTTTCTCTAGATACATGCCCAGGAGTGGAACTGCTGGATCATATGGTAGTTCTATTTTTAGTTCTTTTAAGGAACTCTATACTGTTCTCCATAGTGGTTGTACCAATTTACATTCCCATCAACAGTATAGAAGGGTTCCCTTTTCTCTAGTCTCTTCAGCATTTATTGTTTGTAGAGTTTTTGATGATGGCCATTCTGACAGGTGTCAAGTAATACCTCACTGCAGTTTTGATTTGCATTTCTCTAATAATTAGTGATGCTGAACATCTTTTCACGTGCCTCTTCACCATCTACATGTCTTCTTTGGAGAAATGTCTGTTTAGATTTCTGCCCATTTTTTTTGATTGGGTTGTTTTATTTTGACATGGAGCTACATAAACTGTTTATGTTTGAGGTTAATCCCTTGTTGGTGACTTCCTTTGCAAATATTTTCTCCCATTCTATGGGTTGTCTTTTTGTTTTGTTTATGGGTCCCTTTGCTATGCAAAAAAAGTTTAATGAGGTTTCATTTCTTTTTTAAAATTTTCATTAATAGGAGATGGACTGAAAAAGATACTGCTGCAAGTTATGTCAAAGAGTGTTCTTTCTATATTTTCGTATAAGAATTTTATAGTGTCTGGCCTTACATTTAGGTCTTCAATCCATCTTGAGCTTATTTTTGTGTATGGTGTTAAAAGAATGTTCTAACTTCACTCTTTTACATGTAGCTGTTCTGTTTTCTCAGCACTGATTATCAAAGAGGCTGTCTTTTCTTCATTGTGTAGTCTTAGGTCCTTTGTCATTGATTAATTGACCATAGGTGTGTGGGATTATTTCTAGGCTTTCTATCCTGTTCCACTGATCTACATTTCTGTTTTCGTAGCTTTGCAGTATATTCTGAGGTAAGAAAGCCTGATTCCTCCATCTGTTCTTCTTCTTCAGATTGCTTTGGCTATTCGAGGTCCTGTGTATTTCCATACAAACCTACAACTTTTTTGTTCTAGTTCTGTGATAAATGCCGTTGGTAATTTCATAGGGACTGCACTGAATCTGTAGATTACCTTGGATACAACAGTCATTTTGACAATATTGATTCTTCCAGTTCAAGAACATGGTATATCTTTCCATCTGTTTGTGTCATCTTTGATTCCTTTCATCAACATCTTGCACTTTTCAGAGTACAAATCCTTTGCCTCATTAAATAGGCTTATTTCTGGGTACTTTATTCTTTCTCATATGATGATAAATGGAATTGTTTCGTTAATTTTTCTTTCTGGTCTTTCTATGTAGAAATTCAAGAGATTTCTATGTGTTAACTTTGTAACCTGCAACCTTACCAAATTCACTGATGAGCTCTAGTGGCTTTCTGATAACATCTTTAGGATTTTTTTCTTTATGTAGTATCATATCATCTTCAAAGAGTGACAGTTTTACTACTTCTTTTCCAGTTCTGATTCCTTTTATTTATTTGACTGTCATGGCTAGGACTTCCAAAACTATGTTGAATAGAAGTGGCAAGAGTATGGGAATTCCATGGAGGTCCAGTGGTTAGGATGCAGCATTTTCAGTGCCAGGTTCAAATCCCTGGACAGGGAACCAAGATCCCACAAGCCACATGGCATGGCCAAAAGAAAGTGGTGAGAGTGGACATCCTTGTTTTCTTCCTGATCTTGAGGACATCCTTCCAGCTTTTCACCACTGAGTCATTTTACTCTATTCATAATTCACTATTTCTGATTTTGCTTTTTAATTTTTTTTTTTTTGCTTGAATTCAGTTGACATATTTCTCCTAATTTTCTTGTCCATTACTATTCACTGTATTTCTCAAAAGTATTTTTTTCAAAGTTGTCAAATGCTTATTTAATAATTCATTCAATTTACAGTGCTGTGTTATGGTGTACATTTTTGGACTTTTTGGTTTTTCAGTTCTCCCCTCTACTTAAGTTTTTTTTTTATGGATATAAAAACCACTTATGGTTATGGCGTTTGGGTGCATAATTTGCATGGAGTGAGCAAAGATTTTTATTTCATGCTTCTCTTTTTATTCCTGCCAGATCTTCAATTTCCTTTTCCTTCACTGTCACACTTTTAAGGGAAGTTTACCCCATCTCTATATATCTGATTCTCCCTCAGAAGCAATGCTTCTCTGAGGCATCTTCAGGTCTCACTCTCTTTCTAATCACTTCCCTATATCTTGTGCTATGAGCTACTATGTCCTGACCCATGTTCAGGTGGTATTTTGGCATTTAGCATTAGACTGGAATCTTTCTGGGGAAGCTTTTGTCTGTGCTTCTTCTAATTTGTCAGTGCCTTTACTCTTAAGCCTTTCCTCACTCTTAGAACCCAAAGGTTTGCAATGATGGATGGGAGAACTCTTTTAGACTTTTTATTTCTCTATTTAATACCATACCTTCTAAATGCTTTCTCTGTCTCCTGATCATGCTGAAGAGATGAGTGATATGTGGTTGTATGCCCTCTGCTTGTTATTGGATGATTTATTTTTTTATTTTTTTTAAGGATAAGGAAAATCAGGCAGCTGCCACTGTTCTCCAAAAACCATTCTGGGAAGGCTTTTTATTATGGATTCAATCTATTAAACACAAAGCTGTTTTAATTTTTTCTTTTTCATTTGTATTTTTCTCAATGTAACTTGTTGATTTCACATACATTTTCAAGCTCATTCACATACTATTAATATTCTGTTAATATATTTATGTAGAATAAGGAATGATAAACAAGACATTATCATTCTTGATGAATGTGGCAGTTTTTAAAACCCTGAAAAATCTCTGACATTTCTGCCATCAAGAGGTGATGTGTATGCTCCCTCCCCTAGACTCTGAGGACAGTGACAGCTTCTACCAGTAAGGTACTGTGGATAGGCTACTATACAAATTTTGGCACTATGTCGTAAAATGTCTTGCAGCTTTCTGCTAGTTCTATGGAGATGTTTGCTCGAGGGAAAGTCAGTTGACATTTAATGTATTATTGAACAGAGATGTATTAATATGTCTTTTGTTACCTGAATGTTATTGATTAGAGATGTTTCGATATTTATTTACATAACAAATTGCCAGCCACAGGCATTTAGTTTCTGTGAAAATCTCCAGGTTCAATAATGAGTTAAACAGTCTGACTATACTGACACTATAATACTGTTATGTGACAAAGACAAAACTATAAGCATGAAGGCAAGTAAAGCACAAACAGGCAATATTTCTCATCAGTCTGTCCTGAGGACAATGCCTGCCCTTTGCTGTCAGAATCCTACACAGTTTCAGTACACTATTGACAGGGACATGGTTTAGAGAGCAAAGAACTCAAATAAAAAATATTACATAGGAAACCAAAGAAGTACAAATGTAATGGATGAGGCTGTCAGGGAGTTTAGTGGGCGCTTCATACACTCATATGTGAACAACAGGTTTGAATACATTTTCATCTGTTCCTTACCCCTTCTTCACATTAAGGAGTGAAGGGCAATTAAGCAATGCTGAAAAATCCATAGTTATCCACCACTCAAGGAACACACTGCATTTCTAACTATGGAAAGTAAACATTTCTAGGAATTTTAAAATGATAGATTAGGTAAGTTCAGAAAACAATGGCACCTAGTATAATGCTTGGAACCAAAGGGTATTCATTACTATTTATTAGATGAACGTGAGGGAATCAGGTCCTTTCAAGTATCTTATCAGCACAGACCAGTTTCTGGTCTAAATTACCACAAGTATGGCATGAAATAAGAAATTACTGAACTATTAATTCATATCCTTCAAATTTTTGTCCTTCTGGGACCATATCTACTTCCTTAAGAATAGTTTATTCTCTTTAAACATGACATTTCCAAAAAAGAGATTAAAATAATCTATTAGTCCCTAAGGAAAGAGAAAAACTGGTGATTGTTTTTGGCTAGGGAGAGGAAAAAAAATGGAAATGGCTTTAGTACTTAAGTGGAATTTAGTAAGTCACTCTGTAGTTTTTGAGTACATCACATATAAAATAAATGAACAACTTAAAAGAATTTATGTAAACCTACCAAATCCAGGAACACTTTTGAGACTGGCCTTGAGACAAATTTTCTGTAATCTGAGGTAGCTATATCTCATCAGACAATTCCATAGGAACATCCAGTCCATTCTTGTCCGATGATTCATAATAATGACACTTCTTTCTCCAGGAACAAATGCATCACCTGTTATAATCACTTTTACACCAAGCATGGTCTCCAGCAATGCCTACAGAAAAAAATCACATAGATATTTAACAAATTAAAGTTATGATTTTCCATAGGGAAAAGCTTATCATGTCCTATAAATAAATCTGATTTCTAATAAGTCAAAAGCATATTTTTCCCCATTATTCTTGCTTCTATAATAAATTAATCTGGAACAAAGTACTGTTTGTATTTTCAGTTCTATTAATTTAAGCTTCCAGCAGTTCCCTAATTTAAAAATGCTAACTTTCAATGAAATCGTCAAGATAGATTATTAAGATAAAAAGTGAAAAAGGCATACAACAAGATCTCCACTGTGTAATTTTTTTAAGTCTACAGATATATAAGATCATTACATTTTAAAATAAAGAATAGTCAAGAAATTTAATACTGGAAATATGACTGAGGGAACAGTCAAAATTTTCATTTTATACCTCTTTGTACTATGGTTTCTTTTAAACAAATACATGTATTTGTTTATTTTTTAAATATATAAGTAATGTATATTAACTAAAGTACTGCAGTCACAGTACTTAAAACAGTGCTTGACACATAGGAGATGCTCAAAGATTTGCTGAATTTACTTAATTAACTTTACTGATGACATAAATTATATATGAAATATTTTGAATAAATTATAGACTGATGTTCTTGAAAGAACAATAATAGATGTTAAGAAGCCCTGATTACTGACTGCAATGCACATTTAAATTTCTGAATAATTTGCAAGTAAGAAACTTAGGGACAGAAAACTGGTCCATGGCAGATAAAAGAAAATAAGTTCTCTTTGGCAATATTAAGAAAACTCTGATCAAAATGTAGCAAATAAACACACTGTGGTATAGTCATACAACAGAATATAATACAACAATGAAAATAAATGAACTATGGGTATCAACAGCAACATGAACAACATACAAGCATAATGTTGAGAGAAACAAAACAAGAACATAATGTCCATACATAAAACTTTCTAAAACAAACAGTAACTGATATTCCTAGGGGTAAATATGCTTGCGTGCTCAGTTCATGCTCAGTTGTGTCCAACTCTTTGCAACCCCACGGACTGCAGCCCACCGGGCTCCTCTGTCCCTGGGATGTTCCAGGCAAGATAATGGAGTGGGCTGCCATTTCCTTCTCTAGGGGATCTTCCTGACCCAGGGATTGAACCTGTATCGCCTGCAATGATAGGCAGATTCTTTTTACCACTGAGCCACCAGGGAAGCCCAGGGGTAAATATACAGGTGGCAAAATTAAAAAGAAAAGCAACAAAATAACTGTAAGTCAGGATATTCCTTCTGTTGAAAAGGGTTTTGTGACTGAGAAGGTAGGTGGTTTGCTGGCAATTTTCTATTTCTGGATCTGGCTGATATTTATACTTTAATAAAATTATTAAAGTGCTTTCATGTTTTATTAATTTTTCAGTATATTTCCAAAAAGAGCTTTTTAAAAAAATACATACAAAAGAACAATAGGACTTCAAATAGGACCAAGAAAAAAACAGGTTAAGAGGAATATAAGCTAAAAAATAAAAGATTAGATACATTTATTATTATGTCCAAAGTATTACAGAGTCAGAGTGTTACGATGTAAAACATGATCATTTAGGCTAAAGTAGCTAAAAAATGTCTGTATTTTTTGTTAAATTTTCTAAAGCGTCCATAACCACTCAAATAATTATAACCCCCTCATCCCCCAAAGTTTGGAAAGTTAAATTCCAATGTAGAAGAGACTTCAGGATGGAGAGGATCAGGGAGGAGTCCTCTAGACTTGGACCCACAGCAAGAAATATCCATTTTCCACTTACAGGCGTAAAGGGCTGTCAACTACCAAAATGAAATCACTGAATTATATGTCTTGGCCCAGGTGATGTGTATGAAGTCACCATCCAAGGTTAATTTGGATTGGCTCCCTCCACTCTGCATTCCAAATACGACATATAATTTTCAGAGTATGCAAATAACTAAAATACAGGAACACTTCCTTTAAGAGTCAAAAGAGGAAGCTAAATACTAAATGGAAGGAAAGAGGAAGCTATGATACTAAATGTGTATCATACTATGTGTGTGTGTATGCTCAGTCACTCAGTCATGTCCAACTCTTCGGGACCCCCATGGAGAACCATTGGATTCTCCATTGGATTCTTTACAACTGCGCCACCTGGGACAGCCCATGTTGTACTACAGAAAAGGGTTGAAAATCTTAAGCCTATAAATCAAAATATCAACTCTAGCCTTACATGTAAAATTTCTAATATTTGTTTCCTATGAATCCCAAAACAATCTTTAGCTTTTCATTATAATAAATGTCAAAAGTAAAAAATCCCAGACTGTTTGTTGAGGAGCATATCATAAAGTATTCTCTTTCCTGCCATCCAGCACTCTATCAGAATGTGCTTGAGAGTTATAATATATAACCTTCTGGACAACCTAGAGCTCTAGTTCACATTAATCATTTTTAATACCAGAAAAGACATATCTAGTCAACATTATTTACAGCTCCTGCAAAAGCAGAATAACAAATACACTACACAAAGTTCTAATGCTTATAAAGAATTCCAGAACTCAAATAATACAGATCAAAATCTGTTAAAAGACACTATTCTTATATTTGTTCTCTTTCTAGTATAGAAGATAAGTTTCAGCAGTAAGAATCTAATCTTATAAAATTTTATAATGTTTTATGTCTGAAACTAAGAGTGGTATTAATTCTTAGGACTTTAATTGGTCAAAGATCTCACCTAGAACTAGAAATATATGAGGAATTTCTGAGAATCTTTTACATACCACTGTTGACTACCTCCAAGTGTCCCACTGTGTGTGAAAACAAAGATGAGGGGTTCCCCTCATGGTCACAGAGAATCAGTTTTGCCATGATGCCCCATGCTCCTATCTATCAAGTCCAGTGGATCTTTACTTAGTCTGATGTAAGAAAGACCTGTGACGTTCTTCATCTCCAAGTCTGCCTTGGCTTTGACCCAGGTCCTCAAATCCTTAGGTATTTAAGGATGCGCAATCCCAAGTCACTCAAAGACCGAGACCCTCTTTTTTAAGAGCAGCAGTCTAGACAGAAATTATATTCAGTCATCTATGTTTGCTGAACACCTGTTGTGTTCTAGAATGGGAATGGAATCGGCAAGCTGTGGGAAGAGACATGTGTCCTAGATGGCGAGTTAGAAAATGACCACTAAATTCCTAAGACATGATTTATGGTGAAAGGACAGAACTCCAAGTAGTTCTCATAATCTTGGTAATTAGCTAACAATCAGACAGTTGGAAAGACTCAGAATTTTGAGAAGGAAAAATTGCTCTGGGCACAAACAAAGTTTGACCTGACAGTATTGATTATGTTGAACAGAACCATCCAAAAACGAAAAGAACAAAGACATGTACTTCTCATTATAAAAATATTTTAAAGGAGAATGAATGGTTACTTTGCAGACTTCAAGTACTTTGCAGACTTTGGGAAAGGATTCTTGGACACACGGGTAAGTTAGACTGGGTGACCTCTAAGTCTCATCTAATTCTAAAATTCTAGATGATTTTATTGTGAAACCTCATTTAACAGAAAATGTGCCATTTAAAAAATAGTAAGATAAGAAAAATCTCGCCAATGAAATAATTTTAATGAACAAGCAAAACTTACAAAAGATTATACAGAAGAATAATTTGTGATTATTTCTATGAAACAATAATTAGTCTAGATGCATTTATCCTAATTTATTTTTAGTGAAAAATGATTTTTAACTGAGAGTATTTCAAATAAAGTACACCTATAGGAGAGACAAAACTAAAATTCCTTCTGAATAAAAAAGTGATCTATTGTACTATTTGCTTCAAAGTAGAAATTCCATTAGCACTTTGCGAAAGTATGAAATAAAAAATCATAAAGACACCTTGACAGTTTTCCTTCATTTAACAGAGACATTCACTTTCTCAAAAATCAGAACATGATTTTCTGTAACCTAGCTACAAGGGATTCAACTTCTATAGATTTCTAACTGAAGACTCTACTCGATATGCCATCACCAGCGAGCAAGTCAGTGAGTGAAACAGTTGGGTAACAGAAGTTTTTACAAATATATACCAATTTGACACTACCACTGGGGTTGAATCTTGTCTCTATAAGTTCTCAAGACAGATAATAAGGCAACAGTCAGGAATAGCTGAAATTACCCTTGAAAATCTCAAACAGAAGTACCTACAAGAGACTAGCACACATCAGTAAGTACAGCTTAGCTGGTTCTTCTAAACCCACCATCAGATGAAATTATTGGTTTGCATGCAGTTTTAAACACAAGAGTCATATTTAGCACCAGACCACTCAGATTTCAAACATTCATTCTTATCTTTCCCCTCATCCATTCTAGGGCATAGAATTGAAGTTGTAAAAGGTAGATATGACATAATTCTGCTGTAACAATATCGGTTGCTATTGGTTGTAATAGCAGTAGTAGCAGCTATGGCGAAATCTGTCCATTAATTTGTCCAATAAAATCCAGCATTTCTTCCAAAGTAATAGATTTTAATTGTGTACATGGCCATCCAGAAAACAAAAGACTACATTTCTGACACTTCCCAGATTCTGTAAGAGCTTTTAGCTATTCTTAACCTATGTGGTGAGCAGGAGAGATTATATACAACTTGTAATTCACTGGTATAAATGCAAAGCTATTGCTCTGGACTTCCTTCCCTCCTCACTCCCTGCTGAGCAGGGCAAAGAAGGGGGTAGTGAACAGTCTTAACCATACAAAAGAGCATGCTATGGCAGGCTGTGTGGAAGGAATCTAAGTCCTTGCATAATATCAGGGAGCAGAGCTAACTTGGCAACCAGGACTTGAAGGTGAAGGTTTGCCTTATTCAAGCTATTCTGAATTCTCTTTGACAATGCAGTTTAGCCTACCCGCTAAAGCTTGTAAAGCAGAAAACATTTACTGCTTACTTTGCAAAGTCTATATTCATTATCTCATCTAGTCATCACAATAACACTCTGTGGCAGGTGGTATTAACTTTTTTCCCCTTAACTGATGAAGGAAGCGAAATTTAGAGATGCCAAGTAGCCAAGTTCAAATTATTAGAAAGTGGGAAGGCCAATAGTGAAACCAAATGTCTGTCTCTAATATCTGAATAAACACTCTGCCTACACCGGCTCTCCAAAGAAATTAGATTGATTAGATACTGGGAAGCATAACAGTTATAGTGAGTTACCGATGTAGTAACTTAAGAATATCTTTGAACTCTTAAGGCTTTGGTAGAGAGATTCATGTGACTTACAATCAAAAGATCATACACTATGAAAATTTATGACATTAAAGAAAATGAAGTATAGTGGCAACATGTGACATTTAAAAAAAATTATTTACCTCTAAATATTTGCTTTAGACTCAATAAGGAATCACAGGCCTTAAATGACACACTAAATGAGATGGACTCAACTGATATTTCTTGAACATTCCATCCAAAAATAGCAGAATATACATTTTTCTTAAGAACACATGGAATATTCTCCAGGACTGATCACATGCTGGGCCACAAAGTTAGCTTCAGTAAATTTAAGAGAACTGAAATCATATTAGGCATCTTTTCCAACCACAATACTATAAGAATAGAAATCAACTACAAGAAAAAAAAACAACTGTAAAAAACACAAACATGGAGAGACCTAACAATACGCTAACTCAACAACAAATGGATTACGGAAGAAATCAAAGAGCAAATAAAAAATACTGACAGACAAATGAAAACAGCATGATGATCTAAAACCTATGAGATGCAGCAAAAGCAGTTTTAAGAGGGAAGTTTACAGCAGTACAATCTCACCCCAGGAAAGAAAAAAATCCAAAACAAACTAATGTTGCACCTAAAGCAGCTAGAGAAAGAAGAACAAAGAAAACCCAAATCAGTAGAAGGAAAGAAATCACAAAGACCAAAGCAAAAATAAATGAAATAGAGATGAAGAAAACAGTATATCAATGAAACTAAAAACTGGTTCTTTGAAAAGGTAAACAAAACTGATAAACCTTTAGCCAGTCTCATGAAGAAGAACGGGGGAGAGGATACAAACTACTAATATCAGAAATTAAAAAGAAGTTACAATGGACACCACAGAAATCAAAGTATCATAAGAGACTGCTATAAGCAATATATGAAAATAAAATGGACAACCTGGAAGAAATGGACAAATTCTTAGAAAGGAACAATCTCCCAAAACTGAAACAGTAAGAAATAGAAAATACGAACTGACCAATCACAAGTAATGAAACAATGCCATCTGCAACAACATAGATGGACCTGGAAATTATCACACTAAGTGAAGTAAGTCAGACAAATATGTATGATATTGCTTATATGCAGAATCTTAAAAAAAAAAATATATACAAGTGAACTTTTCCAGAAACACACTAACAAACTAGAAAACAAACATCGTTACTAAAGGGGAAAGTTGACGGGAAGGATAAACTGGGAGTTTGGGATTGACAGTTTACACACTACTATATTTAAAACAGATAACCAACAAGGACCCACTGTATAGAACAGGGAACTCTGTTCAATATTCTGTAATAAATGGAAAAAAATCTGAAAAAGGATACATGTATATATAACAAATAAATAAGACAAACAAGAAATAAAAAATAAAATGCAATATAAGACTAACAATGTAAAAATTCTTTAGTCTGCATCTTCAGATTTATGCATTTTACTAAAGCACACCTCACTAAAGGAAAATAAATTCGTGAGGAATATGGAAGAAACTGTTTTAGAATATAGTCCTTAAATAGATATTCTATTTCAAATACATTATTTCATTTCCTAGCATTTAAAGATGAAAAAACAAAAACTAATGTGCCTCTTATGTAATAGGGATATGTTTCTCATAATATTTGACCAAATCTGACTCACAAAATACGTATCAATAGGATAGGCTACTTTGGTACGATCTCTTTCTCTGTTACATGTGTAACTTACCACAGGTAGCGTGAGCCAGGTTGCCACAATCCGGTTGTTGATCCAGCGATACCAAGATGGACTTATAAACATTAAAGGTAAAAAGGGACCCAGCATGAAAATGCTTCCAAAAAAGCTTCCCCAAAACAGAGTGAGTATAAAGTATATCCCTCTCCATGACACCATGATTCTGAAAGACACACAAAAAAAATCAATATAGTTTATTACTACAACTGCCCAAATTCAATTTCAGAATGATACATTTAATGATCTTTAATTATAGGGCAACAAAATAGGCTCTGATAAAGAATATGAGTTTGAATGCCCTCTTACATGTCCTACAGGTATAACAAGTTGTCAGTACATTAGAAATGGATGCTCTCCAGAAAAACAGACCTATGGATCAATGAATAAAGAGCAGAAATAAACCCACACAGCTACAGCCAATTAATCTTCGACAGGAATTCCTAGTGCTCCGGTGGTTAGAAATCTGTACCTCTATTGCAGGGGGCACGGGTTGGATTCCTGGTTGGAGAACTAAGATTCCGCATGCTATGTGGCAAGGCCAAAGAGGGAAACAAAAAAAAAAAGCCTTTGACAAAGGAGGCAAGGATATGTATAATGGAGAAAAGCTAGCCTCTTCACCAAGTGGTATTGTGAAAACTAGACAGCCACATGTTAATTGAAGAATTTAGAACATACCCTCAACACCATACACAAAAATAAACTCAAAATGACTTACATATTAAGACACAACACCATAAAACTCTGAGAAGAGAACACAGGCAATGCATTCTATGACTTAGCAATGTTTTCTTAGGTCAATCAATCTCCCATGGCAAAAGCAAAATTAAATAGGAACCAACCAAATTCACAAGTTTTTGCACCACAAAGGAAAGCATAAACAAAATGAAAAAACCTACAAATGGGAGAAAATATTTGCCAACAATGTGACTGACAAGGCCTTCATTACCAAAGTGTACAAACAGCTCATACAACTCAGTGACAAAAACACAACCCAATTTAAAAAATGGTCTGAAGACTTAAATAAACATTTCTCCAAAGAAGACATACAGATGCTCAAAAGGCACATGAAAAGATGCTCAACACTGCTAATTATTAGAGAAACACAAACCAAAACTACAGTGAGGTACCATCTCACACCAGTCAGAGTGGCCATCATCAAAAAGTAGACAAGTAACAAATGCTGGAGAGGGTATAGAGGAAAGGGAACCTTCCTACAGTGTTGGTGGGAATGTTAACTGGTGCAGGCATTATAGAAAACAATATGAAGCCCCCCTGCACCCTTTTTTGTCAGGTCACACTGCTCAGTATATGGGATCTTAGTGTCCAACCAAAGATCGAACCTGTGTCCCCTGCGTTGCGAGCACAGAGTCTTAACCACTGGACCACCAAGGAAGTCCCTGGAGGTTCCTTAAAAAACAAAAGCACTACCATATGATCCAGCAATCCCACTCCTGGGCATATATTCATAATCCAAAAGGACACTATTAGTGGCTATTTGCAATAGCCAAGACATGGAAGCAACTTAAATGTCCATTGATAGATAAAAGATGTGGTATATATACACAATGGACTACTACTCGGCTCTAAAAAAATGAAAAGGCCATTTGCAGCAACATGAATGCAATTAGAGATTCTAATACTAAGTAAATCAGAAAGAGAAAGACAGACACTGGTAGGCTATCACTTGTATATGGGATCTAAAACATGACACAAATGAACTTATGAAACAGAAACAGACTTAAGTCATAGGAAACTAACATGGTTACCAATGGGGAAAGGAGGTGAAGGAGGGAAACGGTAGGAGTTTGAGATTAGTAGTACAACAAGATAAACAACATCCAGCGGATCCTTGACCAACTGAGCTATTAGGGAAGACCAACTGTATACAGCACAGGGAATTAAATTCTGTATCCTGTTTATACTCTGCATAAGCCATAATGGAAAGGACTATGGAAAAATGTCTCTGTGTGTATGTACACATGTATGTATATGTATAACTGAATCACTTTGCTGTTTAGCAGAAGCTAACACAACATAGTGTATCAACTATACTTCGATGAAAAAAGGAAACAGATACACTCAAAGAGTAAATGTCTGACCGCTCCTCCCCCAAAAAAGCTGTAAAAGTCTTGGGTGATGAACATAGATGCAAAAATCCTTAACAAAATTCTAGCAAACAGAATCCAACAACATATTAAAAAAATCATACACCATGACCAAGTGGGCTTTATCCCAGGAATGCAAGGATTCTTTAATATC